AGTTCCCGGTGGTCTGGTGGCTAAAGCTCCCGCTACACACACGGAGGGCCCGGGTTCGATTCCCGGCGGGTGGAAATTCCGACACGTTTCCTTACACCTATTGTCCTGTTCACCTAGCAGCAAATAGGTACCTGGGTGTTAGTCGACTGGTGTGGGTCGCATCCTGGGGGACAAGATTAAGGACCCCAATGGAAATAAGTTAGACAGTCCTCGATGACGCACTGACTTTCTTGGGTTATCCTGGGTGGCTAACCCTCCGGGGTTAAAAATCCGAACGAAATCTTATCTTATCTTATCTTAATGTGAGTAGTCACGAAAGCGCTTGGAATTTCTCTATTCTTTCACAGTGGTTGTTTTGCATATATATATATATATATATATATATATATATATATATATATATATATATATATATATATATATATATATATATATATATATATATATATTTTCATTTTTCTTAGCTCGTTCATTTACTCGTAGTTGTGTATGGCTTTTTTACATTTTTTTTTTCAAGGTAATTTACATATTTGTAAATATGTGGATGATTACAATTGTCTTACTATGCAAAACAATTATAATCATCCACATATTATGCAGTTGTACCTTAATAGACATTATGATCTATATATTCACGAAAAAACGCTTAACCCGTAGGGTAATATAGTTTATGGGTACTGGGAGAGGTGGAGGTACTCTGAGATAGCTCCGACTCCATGGATGAAGAGCTTTCACTGGAAATTAAAAAAAAAAGTGTACGCATAATGCTGAACGTTTAAAGAATTTTTATTATATTCATAGGGAAAGCGATAAACCCGTAATGTTATGCAGTACATGGGTAAGTAATCACGGGTGAAGAGGAGGATAGGTTTAATTCCTTGGATCAAGAGCCCTTTATCACCAAGGCAAGCAAGTTTTGTTCCCGCTATGTAATGTTATAGAATAGTATATTATAATTATTATAATCATGGGGGGCGCTAAACCCGTAGGATTATACAGCGCATGTGGGGGGATGGAAGGTACTCAGGCTTAATTCAGGGAACTGGAGCACAGATCCAATTGCCTAGATCAAGAGCCCCTCACCAGCGTCAAGGAACCTCCCTTGATGGGATAGACTAGTATAGCAGCACACTGTTGATGTATCCAATTTTACTAAAACAAAGTTGAACGTCTCTAGAACTTGCGCGAAACGTTGCAGAAATGAAGGAAACTGATTTGTATCTTTAGGGAAATACGAATTTTAAAGGCGTTGAATAATAATTTTGATAGTGTGTATAATAAGGTTTAAATAATAACATATTACAAGGACCCCAATGGAAATAAGTCGCATTGACTTTTTTTTTTTTTTTGGTTATCCTTGGTAATCTACACATATGCTGCTGTGTATGATAATTGATGTAACTGTAATTGTGTACCCGTACCTGAATTAACTTAGGTAGTATTTTGTTAAGGTGGTGTGAGGTGTGAGGGAGTGGTAGCAGCAGTTACCAGGCGGCCTCAGTCACCCCAGTCAACTGTGTGGTGCTGCTGCTGCTGCTACACCATCTTATCTTTTAATTTATCTCCTCAGCCTTACGTCCTCGGCACACTCGCTCCATTATTAAGGTAGTGACCTCTCAAGGGATTATTATTATAATCAAGGAGAAGCGCTAAACCCGGAGGATTATACAGCGCCTGGGGGGGGGATGTGGAAGGCATTCAGGCTTAATTCGGGGAACTGGAGCACAGATCCAATTCCCTAAATCAAGAGCCCCTCACCAACATCAAGGAACCTTCCTTGACGGGACCTCTCAAGGGAGATTCCTTGTCTCTGGTGAGGGGCTCTTGATCTGGGGAATTGGATCTGTGCTCCAGTTCTCTGAATTGAGTCTGGATACCTTCCATCTCTCTCCCTCCTCCCTTCCACAGGCGCTGGATAATTCCTGCGGTTTTAGTGTTCCCTCATGATTATAATAATGTTAACAAGGTAGTGAGGTGTTGTAATTGCAGCCTTTTTTTTTAGCTACTTATTTAGCAGCAGAGTTATGTGGTGTTCCATCCTCAGTAATTTGTCCATCATATATTTTTTTCCTTTTAATATCAATTTTTGTGTTATCCTAGGTAGTATACACGTGTTACTCTGATGATTTGTGTAACTGTACCTAAATAAACTTACTTCATTTCATCAATTCATCACTGAATCGGCTACCAGAGTTTTATATTAGGGGTGGCAATCATTGTCGTCCTTTTAATCTTGTCTCCCAGGATGCCACCCACACCAGTCAAATAACACCCAGGTACCTACTTGCTGCTAGGTGAACAAGGGTAGCCGGTGTAAGGAAACATTCCCATCCATGCCGGGAATTGAATCCTAGACACTCACTGTGTGAGCTGAATGTGTTGTTATTTTTATTCGGGGGCTTCTGCCCCCTTGCTCCCCCCCTGCCCTGTAGTACTTCTACTAGTTGTGGGTAAAGAGGTACCAGAGATTGAAGGTCAGCAATAGTATGCACCCTGGGAGGGAAGTATTATCTTGGGGTACATAGTCCACCCTCTTGTCTCTTGGACCTGGCCTGACGATGCTTCAGGGCTCTAGATCAGAGGAACTAGAGTCATCCTCCCTGGGATTGAATCTTGTCTCTTCCCCCCCCCATTCCCAAGGTGCTATGACCCCTATGGGTTTACTGCTAAAGGGATCTTGCTCAAAGGAATTGGATCTACCCTCCTCTTACTTGGGCCCATATCCAGGTGATGCATAACACTGGTTTAATGCTTCCCCATCAATAGAGTAATCCTATCACTTTCATTGGCATTATTGGATTATTCTGGATTACTAATCCGTCAGAGTTAATACTTTTACTAGTGTTCTTTTCTTCTTCATTCCTTCAAGGGAGGCATTTTGATGCTGCCGAAGTGGGGTATTTTTATTCAGGCATCATGCATCATTTAAAAATTTTACTATGGTGTTATATGGACAATATGTAGAAATTAATGTAGAATAACCTAATACAATCAATGTGAATTATTTCCATTGAAAGCTACATGTGGGTTATCCTAGAATAAATTTGTGTGTCAGGGTATACCACAAATTCTAACCATACAATAGAGTGGAAAAGTAATGTGAAGGAGCTGGGAGTGATAATGTCAGAGGCTCTAGCCTTCAAAGACCACAACAATGTATCTACCTAATCTGCTAGGAAAATGATAGGATGGATAATGAGAACCTTCAAAACTAGGGATGCCAAGCCCATGATGATTCTCTTCAAATTGCTTGTGCTCTCTAGGCTGGAATACTGCTGTACGGTAACAGCCCCCTTCAAGGCTGGCGACATTGCAGACCTGGAGAGTGTACAAAGAACTTTCACAGCACACACAAGTGCGATAAGGCACCTAAACTACTGGGAACAGTTGAAGGTCCTTGATCTGTATTCCCTCGAATGCAGGCGAGAGAGATACGTGATAATATACACTTGGAAGGCCCTGGAGGGATTGATACCAAACCTGCACACGAAAATCACTCCCCATGAAAGCAAAAGACTCGACAGGAGATGCAACATTCCCCCGATGAAAAGCGGGCGCCACGAGTACACTGAGAGGCAACACAATAAGTGTCCGGAGCCCAAGACTGTTCAATTGCCTCCCAGCATACATAAGGAGGATTACCAATAGACCCCTGGCTGTCTTCAAGAAGGCACTGGACAGGCACCTAAAGGCAGTACCTGACCAACCGGGCTGTGGTTCGTACGTCAGCTTGCGTGCAGCCAGCAGTAACGGCCTGGTTGATCAGACCCTGATATACCATGAGGTCTGGTCTCGGACCAGGCCATGGGGGTGTTGACCCCCAAAACCCTCTCCAGGTAAACTCCAGGTACAGTGTATCCCTGCCCCTCTCACCCATCCTTCAGCAGAAGGAGCAGGTTTTATGAGATTTACCCATATGGTTTACCCTACCTGGGAATTGAACTTTGATTCCTTTGGTTGTTACCCAAGTGCTCTTCCATTTAAGACTATTGAGTATCAAAGCATGTGTTCTACAGAAATTTAAAGGGTAGACATAGAAAGGCTTCACATTTAGTTTAGTACAGTATCATAAATTTACTTCCATCTACTTACTTTAATTATAAAAATGTAAAATTCTGTCTCGGTTTCTGCATCCAAAACATTTTCCTGTAGCTACTTTATGTATTCGTTATTTGCTTTCAGCTAACTTTTAATTAATACTGTTTGTCTTTAAGAGGGTATTGCAATACTGCTCTGTATTATACTGTAGAAGGCAAATACCATCTTCTTGCATGTTAGATGAAACTAAAGTTAATAAGATAAATATCTGATGATTGTTGAAGTTCAAACTATTTACTGTGTGAAATACATGATGAATTAAGTTTTGGTCTCTTTATACAGTGTGTAGTTATTGCACACCTTTTTTTTTTTTTAACCAATTGTTTGAATGAACACTGTACAGTACTTTGCAAAATTTGATGTAAAATAAAATTTAAAAAATGGAAGTCCCTTACTTGAATTAAAATATTATTATGTATGTATGTGGTGCTGCATGAGTAGTGCGTTATAAATATTTTGTGTTGGATTAACACAAAAGAATAGATTTATTGCTCTCAGGATAATCACATATCCAAGAAATAGTTGCATGATTTTGTGTGGATATTTTAGTGTAGCTATTCTGTGCACTGTCATTGACTTGTTCACATGGGTATACTATTATCTGCTGCTGATAAGGTCTAGTAACCTTGATTACATGTAGTCAGGGTGCTGCTACACTGGTTGTCTCTTTTTTGTGAAAGCATCTGTAAGTGTAGGTTGCATTTTGGTGCCATGGAGTGTCTGAACCTCCTTAATGTTCCTTAAGTCTTACAAACATATTGTGTTCTTTATATTACAGGACTGTATTAGTGTTATACATGAAATGTTCTATACCATATATTTTTTGTTGATTTCATTTAATAATAAACACTCTCATAATTGTTTCTCTGCATATGTAATATTTTACTATTTTAAATTTACAGGACTAGCACAGTGCTCAGAGCTGTGTTGGCAGCTGCGAGGTGAGGCAGGGAAACGTCAGGTCCCAGGGGCAAAATTAGCACTTCAGCACAATCTTGGGCTAGGAGGTGCGGTTGTTGTTACTTTGTACAAGATGGGCTTCAGAGGAAATGACCGAGGGTGAGTATACTGGGTACAACAGTATTCCATTTTCCGTATCCTTGTCTACCTAAACATCAGTAATACAGGACTCTGTGCAGCCTGTAATCATTGGGCTGAGACTTGTGTTCTAGATAGCTTTCTTGTATTTTTTAACATTGCTTTTCAGATCTATACCATACATTCAGATACAGTGGTACCTCGAGTTTTGAACATCTCCCAACTCGAACATTTATGTAAGTGTTTTTTTCGGGGTCTGAAATGGACTAATCTAATTTACACTACTCCTTATGGGAACAAATTCGTTCGGTAACGGCACTCGAACAGCCTTCTGGAACGAATTATGACCGAAACTCGAGGTACCACTGTATCTGATATATATTAATCAGAATATTTACAATTTATGTAAATGTATACATACTATGTCACTAATGCTGAACCCATAAACTGCTCACTTATAAATAATACCGCTTCCCTTTGCAAATGACAAACAAAATGTTGAAAATTAATAGTTTAGGTGCCAGAAACATACAAAAAAGTATTTACAATTACCTATATCTGGAGTTGGTGGTGTTTAATTACAGCTAGTTAGGGAGACAGACAAACTTCATAAAAGTAATTATTTGCCTCTAACATATACAGTAATCATAGGTAGTAGGTTAGTATACAGCAGCCGCCCAGGGAGGTACTACCGTTCTGCCAAGTGAGTGTAAAATTGAAACCTGTTATTGTTTTACATGATGGTAGGATTCCTGGTGTTTTGTTTTTTTTTTTTGTCTCATAAACACTCAAGATTTCAGATACGTCTTACTACTTTTACTTACACTTAGGTCACACTACACGTGCATGTACAAGCAAATATGTACACACCCCTCTGGGTTTTCTTCTATTTTCTTACTACTTCTTGCTCTTGTTTATTTCCTCTTATCTCCAAGGGGAAGTGGAACAGAATTCTTCCTCCGTAAGCCATGCGTGTCGTAAGAGGCGACTAAAATGCCGGAAGCAAGGGGCTGGTAACCCCTTCTCCTGTATACGTTACTACAGTGGAACCTCGGTTTTTGTATGCCTGACTTTTTTCATCCAAATTTTGTTCCAGTTTTTATACATCTGCTCAGATTTCATACAGTTAACAATGGTCCGCCATACCTAACACATCCGCCTGCTCATGCCAACACAAAGCATCCCACGCGTTCTGACTTAGTCTGGCTTTGTTTCTCATTGAGTGAGCATTACCCTGCGCATTCATCCAAAACATTTCGTAATAATCCATTGTTTTTTGTGCTTGTTTATTGAGTGCGACTTCTAAATAAGCCACCATGGGGCCAAACAAAGTTCCGAGTGCCAGCCCTTTGATAAAGAAGGCGAGAAACACAATAGAATTCAAGAAAGAACTCGTAGCAAAGTATGAAAGTGTTGCAAGACGTGTCTGCAGCATGTTTAATGACAATGCCTTGTACCATTTAAGGCAAATCTTAAAGAGATGCCAGAAACAGACCTCTCTGGATAGATTTTTTGTGCAGTGGGGGTCCAATGACTCTCAAGCTGGTCTTGGTGCCAGTAAAAGACAATGAAGGGAAGTAACCCCCGGATAGGGCTTTGATACCTGAAGTCCTTATGGAGGGGGATTCCCCTTCCAAACAATAACCTCTCCTCCTCCCTCTCCCGTCCTAGCTGTCTTCCATATGCCAACAAGTGTCTTCAGTAAAGGTAGAAGTAATGTTAAATGTTCATTTATCCATTTCATTAGTCATTTATATTTATTTTTCATTGTTTACTGTATGTAAAACTAGTTATTTTCTATAAAACGTAATTTTTGTTAATATTTTTGGGTATCTGGAATGGATTAATTGGATTTACATTACATTATTTCTTATGGGAAATATTGCTTCAGTTTTTGTGCAATTCGGTTTTCGTCGGACTTTCTGGAATGAATTAATCACAAAAACCGAGGTTCCACAGTAAGGTTAAAAAGAGTAACTTACGTTTTTCTTTTTAGGTTACCCTGCCTCAGTGGGGTATGGCCAATTTGTTCAAAAAATATATATATATAGTACTGTAGTGCAGCTCTCATTACTCATTTCTGCTAACCCATTTGTCTTCTTTATACACTGTACAGGGATTAGCATTAGCAAAACGAACACACATGGTCTTTGATCACATGGCTGATGGTACAAAGAGAGAAATTTGATGAATGGATGGCTGGATTTGCTGAACAGTGGGCCCCACCTCAAAATCAATAGACTTTTAGAAAGTTCCTTGTCAGTCTTCCAAATCTGATATAAATATATGTTCACCTTCATCACTAAACTCATACAAAACATTACATATTTTGGGTGGGGGCCAGTCTACCCTAGTGCTCATGTTTTTGTCTGAAATGTCAACTTGCATGCTTTCACCACAGTGTATGTTAGGCATCCATGTACCCATTGGTCACTTGGCATGAAAATGTATGAGCTGAGCCATATGTTAATATAGCCCAAGTGTTCAAAACTTTGAGTAAAATATTACATCAATTAAAGATGGGAGGAGTTAGCAGTGTATTACTGATATACAGTAGACAGTTATTTAGCACAAGTTAATTTGGCATGATTTGGGTATAGCACAATTGAAGAATTGCGGCACAATTTTATGTAACATGTCATAAAATTAATTTAACACGGTTCAGTTTGCGGGAAAGAAAAAAAATCCTTTTTCCTCAAGCAGCCGCCTTGTTGTGGATCAGTGGGGGAGACCTCCCACCATCCCCTGCCACCCCCCGACACCACCCCCCGACACCACCCCACCATCCCAGCATTCGTACTTCATATGCGTCCAGTCTTTCTTCTCTGCTACAAGATAGCTGTGTTTGTGAATTGTGTTTTGATCTTTTAATTACCGTATCTTGTATCTGCCAAGCAATCATGACACCCAGTAGGCATACCGGTGTTGCTGAAAGTGGCAAGAAAATGTATAAGCATTTAAGTCTTAGAATTAAGAAAGATGTCAGACAAGAGATAACCTGTGGCATAATGAAGTGTTACTTTGTACACATAAAAAGAGGTAAACATAAGTTTGTGTGACTGACTGAATGACTTGAATGAATAGCTTACTGACTTGACTGAATAACTTACTGACTTGACTGAATGACTTACTGACTGAATGACTTTACTGATTGAATGACTTGACTGACTTAATGACTGACCTACTGAATGACTTAATGACTGACTGACCTACTGAATGACTTAATGACTTGATTGACTGAATAACTTACTTGGCTTACTGACTGAATGACTTGACTGATTTACTGAATGACTTGACTGACTTACTGAATGACTTAAAGTTAAAAATTCCAGTACAACCATTGACTTCAGTACCAGAACCTCTACCATCCACCTCAGCCCAGTAGGGCCACAGCATAACTTTCCACTCCATTCACAATCATCCACAAACACCAGCACCCACAATTTAAGGTAAGAAATAATATTATTTCTGTTACATTTGTAGCCTTAAGCAGTAAAAACAACATAATACATCACAACAATGAACTATAATTACGTATTCACTTTTATTTTTGTAAGAGGTGGAGGCCTAAAAAAAAAAGTTGTTTGGCTTTTTTGGGGCTCTCAGGAATGCAACCTTATTTTTCTCATAAGTTCTTCAATTCATCCAACACAGTGTTACCTAGCACGGCATTTTCAGGAACGTAACTACCGTGTTAAATGATGGTCTACTGTAATTAATATACCTTTCAACAGAATTGTAGCATCAGCAACAGCAGCAGCAGGACAAGACTTCCAGAGTGCTGTTATTTTTAATGCTATTCAGGATGCCTTAAAAGCTGATGGTCATACACTTGTCAACAAGGTAAGCAAAGATAATTTTTTTGAACTTTTGCAGTAAAAAGGTAGAAAGAAGTGTTTACACATACTGCTTAGTGATGCATAAAGCAGTGCAATAAACACTGCTTGGTAAGTAAGGGACTTTCTGAAATTTGCATTCAGGGAGGGAAGATTGTAAATCAAGCCTGTAAGCTTCACTTTTGAAAAGTACAGTGTCACACACAGTTTTAAAATTTTAATTGACTTCACATCTTCATTATTTTGCATTGTTTTGTACATTAGAAGAATAAATACATTTGTAATCATTTTTACTAGTGTTTAGTGAACAGCTCCCAACTCTAACAGTTATGTAAGTGGTAGTGCTTTTGTAAGTGTATTTTTGGAGGTCTGAAATGGACTAATCTAATTTACATTATTCCTTATGGGAACAAATTCATTCAGTATCAGCACTCGAACAACCTTCTGGAACAAATTAAGTTCGTAACTCGAGGTACCACTGTATGAGACTATTGTTAACTGTGCAACTTGAGAGTGAGGTACAGTATAATTAAACATTGTATGTAATATTTAGAATAGCTTCTTAAGTCTGGAAATTATGGAGAGGTCATATAAATGAAATGTGAGACAGGACTTAAAATGTAATGGAATTGTAAAGAGAGTCATTAACTGGCTGGACATTGATCAGAGGTACGTAGTATTTTTTGAAGAGGTAACATCTGCATAGTACAAGTTTGTGCTAGTATTAGTGATATGATCATTTGCCCATCCACTAAAAAGAATGTTGCTGATACAGATTGTATGAACATACATTATATGTGTGTGTGTGCTTGCACACATGCATGCATGCAGACTCTCTTCTGTTTAGTAGTAGGCAAGCAAAGTGCCCCTGTATTAATAAAAGTAGGCCTTAGACTGGAATGTGTGATGTCACCATGGTTGTATAGCATATTTATAGATGGGGTTGTTAAAGAAGTGAACACTAGTTTGTTAGGGAAAGAATTTGGAGTTTGGAAGTTAGGAAAAGGTGTGGAGTTTTTTTTTTTTTTTTTTTTTTTTTTTTTTTTAAGCAAGTCGGCCATCTCCCACTGAGGCAGGGTGACCCAAAAAAGAAAGAAAATCCCCAAAAAGAAAATACTTTCATCACTTTCACCACACTCACACATTATCACTGTTTTTGCAGAGGTGCTCAGAATACAACAGTTTAGAAGCATATACGTATAAAGATACACAACATATCCCTCCAAACTGCCAATATCCCAAACCCCTCCTTTAAAGTGCAGGCATTGTACTTCCCATTTCCAGGACTCAAGTCCGACTATATGAAAATAACCGGTTTCCCTGAATTTTTTTTTTTTTTTTTTTATCACACTGGCCGATTCCCACCAAGGCAGGGTGGCCCGAAAACGAAAAACTTTCACCATCATTCACTCCATCACTGTCTTGCCAGAAGGGTGCTTTACACTACAGTTTTTAAACTGCAACATTAACACCCCTCCTTCAGAGTGCAGGCACTGTACTTCCCATCTCCAGGACTCAAGTCCGGCCTGCCGGTTTCCCTGAACCCCTTCATAAATGTTACTTTGCTCACACTCCAACAGCATGTCAAGTATTAAAAACCATTTGTCTCCATTCACTCCTATCAAACACGCTCACGCATGCCTGCTGGAAGTCCAAGCCCCTCGCACACAAAACCTCCTTTACCCCCTCCCTCCAACCTTTCCTAGGCCGACCCCTACCCCGCCTTCCTTCCACTACAGACTGATACACTCTTGAAGTAACTCTGTTTCGCTCCATTCTCTCTACATGTCCGAACCACCTCAACAACCCTTCTTCAGCCCTCTGGACAACAGTTTTGGTAATCCCGCACCTCCTCCTAACTTCCAAACTACGAATTCTCTGCATTATATTCACACCACACATTGCCCTCAGACATGACATCTCCACTGCCTCCACCCTTCTCCTCGCTGCAACATTCATCACCCATGCTTCACACCCATATAAGAGCGTTGGTAAAACTATACTCTCATACATTCCCCTCTTTGCCTCCAAGGACAAAGTTCTTTGTCTCCACAGACTCCTAAGTGCACTGCTCACCCTTTTCACCTCATCTTTCATAGACCCATCCGCTGACACGTCCACTCCCAAATATCTGAATACATTCACCTCCTCCATACTCTCTCCCTCCAATCTGATATCCAATCTTTCATCACCTAATCTTTTGTTATCCTCATAACCTTACTCTTTCCTGTATTCACTTTTAATTTTCTTCTTTTGCACACCCTACCAAATTCATCCACCAATCTCTGCAACTTCTCTTCAGAATCTCCCAAGAGCACAGTGTCATCAGCAAAGAGCAACTGTGACAACTCCCACTTTGTGTGATTCTTTATCTTTTAACTCCACACCTCTTGCCAAGACCCTTGCATTTACTTCTCTTACAACCCCATCTATAAATATATTAAACAACCACGGTGACATCACACATCCTTGTCTAAGGCCTACTTTTACTGGGAAATAATTTCCCTCTTTCCTACATACTCTAACTTGAGCCTTACTATCCTCATAAAAGCTCTTCACTGCTTTCAGTAACCTACCTCCTACACCATACACCTGCAACATCTGCCACATTGCCCCCCTATCCACCCTGTCATACACCTTTTCCAAATCCATAAATGCCACAAAGACCTCTTTAGCCTTATCTAAATACTGTTCACTTATATGTTTCACTGTAAACACCTGGTCCACACACCCCCTACCTTTCCTAAAGCCTCCTTGTTCATCTGCTGTCTTATTCTCAGTCTTACTCTTAATTCTTTCAATAATAACTCTACCATACACTTTACCAGGTATACTCAGCAGACTTCTTTCTTTCTTCCAACACACCGGCCTTATCCCACCGAGGCGGGGTGGCCCAAAAGGAAAAACGAAAGTTTCTCCTTTTACATTTAGTAATATATACAGGAGAAGAGGTTACCAGCCCCTTGCTCCCGGCATTTTAGTTGCCTCTTACAACACGCATGGCTTACGGAGGAAGAATTCTGTTCCACTTCCCCATGGAGATAAGAGGAAATAAACAAGAATAAGAACTAGAAAGAAAATAGAAGAAAACCCAGAGGGGTGTGTATATATGTGCTTGTACATGTATGTGTAGTGTGACCTAAGTGTAAGTAGAAGTAGCAAGACGTACCTGAAATCTTGCATGTTCATGAGACAGAAAAAAGGACACCAGCAATCCTACCATCATGTAAAACAATTACAGGCTTTCGTTTTACACTCACTTGGCAGGACGGTAGTACCTCCCTGGGCGGTTGCTGTCTACCAACCTACTACCTATAACTCAGCAGACTTATCCCCCTATAATTTTTGCACTCTCTTTTGTCCCCTTTGCCTTTATACAAAGGAACTATGCATGCTTTCTGCCAATCCCTAGGTACCTTACCCTCTTCCATACATTTATTAAAATAATTGCACCAACCACTCCAAAACTATATCCCCACCTGCTTTTAACATTTCTATCTTTATCCCATCAATCCCAGCTGCCTTACCCCCTTTCATTTTACCTACTGCCTCACGAACTTCCCTCACACTCACAACTGGCTCTTCCTCACTCCTACAAGATGTTATTCCTCCTTGCCCTATACACGAAATCACAGCTTCCCTATCTTCATCGACATTTAACAATTCCTCAAAATATTCCCTCCATCTTCCCAATACCTCTAACTCTCCATTTAATAACTCTCCTCTCCTATTTTTAACTGACAAATCCATTTGTTCTCTAGGCTTCCTTAACTTGTTAATCTCACTCCAAAACTTTTTCTTATTTTCAACAAAATTTGTTGATAACATTTCACCCACTCTCTCATTTGCTCTCTTTTTACATTGCTTCACCACTCTCTTAACCTCTCTCTTTTTCTCCATATACTCTTCCCTCCTTGCGTCACTTCTACTTTGTAAAAACTTCTCATATGCTATCTTTTTCTCCCTTACTACTCTCTTTACATCATCATTCCACCAATCGCTCCTCTTCCCTCCCGCACCCACTTTCCTGTAACCACAAACTTCTGCTGAACACTCTAACACTACATTTTTAAACCTACCCCATACCTCTTCGATCCCATTTCCTATGCTCTCATTAGCCCATCTATCCTCCAATAGCTGTTTATATCTTACCCTAACTGCCTCCTCTTTTAGTTTATAAACCTTCACCTCTCTCTTCCCTGATGCTTCTATTCTCCTTGTATCCCATCTACCTTTTACTCTCAGTGTAGCTACAACTAGAAAGTGATCTGATATATCTGTGGCCCCTCTATAAACATGTACATCCTGAAGTCTACTCAACAGTCTTTTATCTACCAATACATAATCCAACAAACTACTGTCATTTCGCCCTACATCATATCTTGTATACTTATTTATCCTCTTTTTCTTAAAATATGTATTACCTATAACTAAACCCCTTCACTAAATATTACCCTGCTCACACTCCAACAGATCGTCAGGTCCCAAGTATCATTCGTCTCCATTCACTCCTATCTAACACGCTCATGCACACTTGCTGGAAGTCCAAGCCCCTCGCCCACAAAACCTCCTTTACCCCCTCTTTCCAACCCTTTCGAGTTATAAGAGGTATTATTCAGAGGGCTGAGGAGAGGTTGTTGAACTGGTTTGGACATTAAGAGATGATTGAGAAAAATATTATGACTAGGAGTGCATATAAATCTGGGTGGAGGAAAGGAGAAAAGATTGGATGGAGCAGGTAATGAAGGTTTTGATTGCTGAGGGCTTGAACATTCAACAGGTTTATGTGAGTATGTTAGGTAGGGGTGGGCAAAAGCAAGTGTTTTTTTCTCCTATGACTTTATGTGCTGTTAGAGTGTGAGCAAGTTAACGTTTATGAAGGGATTCACAGAAACCAGTTAACCAGACTTTGAGTCCTGGAGGTGGGAAGTACAGTGGAACCTCGGCACTCGAACTTAATTGATTCTAGAAGGCTGTTCGAGTACAGACCGAATTTTTCCCAACCAACTTTCTTTTTGGTTGGCTGTTATCACTAACCCTCTTAGGCCCCATGGTAACTTATTAATACAAATAATACAAAAAAAAAATCCAAAAAAATGAGAAGAAACACGAAATAGTTTACAGCAAAGTTCTGGCAGGCCGTGTTTGTTTGGCTGAATGCCAAGCAAATGGTTAACTATGAAGCAGTTTGTTTACTGAACAAAGCATTCAGATACTGAATTGGTCGAATATGGAGCTGGTCGAGTACCGAGGTTCCACTGCACAGTACCTACACTTAGGAAGGGTGGGGATGTGGTTTGGAGGGTCATTTGAATTGAGATGTCAGCACCCTTCTGGCAACACAGTGATTGAATGAGTGACAGTGAAAGTGTTTTCTTCATACCTTGGTGGGAGATGGCCGGTATTAAAAAAAACAAAATATTGTACCCACTTCCAGACCTCAGTCAAGTTTCAAGATAACATTTAATTCATAAATAATATAATTCTTATAATCTAAACTCGTTGCTTACACAGTTACATTCATGGAAGTGTGAAATCTCTGAAATGGTAAAGAGATATAGACCAAAAAATAAATGCAAGATTTAGGTACAGATAGTCCAGAACATAAATATAAGGCTTAAACTGAACATACTTTTTTTTTTACACACATATATAATATATATATATATATAAATATATATATATAATATATATATATATATATATATATATATATATTATAAAATATATATATATATATTATATATATATATATATATATATATATAATATATATATTATATTAATATATATATTTTATATATATATATATATATATATATATAATATTATATATATAATATATATTATAATATATATATATTATATATATATATATGGGGGCAGGAGGAAAGAGGAGTGATTGGTGGAATGATGAAGTAAAAGGGTGTATAAAAGAAAAAGGTAGCTTATGAGAGGTTTTTACAAAGCAGAGGTGTTATAAGAAGAGCAGAGTATATGGAGAGTAAAAGAAAGGTGAAGAGAGTGCAAAAGGAGAGCAGATGAAAGAGTGGGAGAGGCACTGTCAAGAAATTTTAATGAAAATAAGAAAAAATTTTGGAGTGAGTTAAACAAGTTAAGAAAGCCTAGGGAAAGTATGGATTTGTCAGTTAAAAACAAAGTAGGGGGAGTTAGTAGATGGGGAGAGGGAGTTTTAGGTAGATGGCGAGAATATTTTGAGGAACTTTTAAATGTTAAGGAAGAAAGGGAGGCAGTAATTTCATGCACTGGCCAGGGAGGTATACCATCTTTTAGGAGTGAAGAAGAGCAGAATGTAAGTGTGGTGGAGGTACGTGAGGCATTACATAGAATGAAAGGGGGTTTAAAGCAGCTGGAACTGATGGGATCATGACAGAAATGTTAAAAGCAGGGGGGGATATAGTGTTGGAGTGGTTGGTACTTTTGTTTAATAAATGTATGAAAGAGGGGAAGGTACCTAGGGATTGGCGGAGAGCATGTATAGTCCCTTTATAAAGGGAAAGGGGACAAAAGAGATTGTAAAAATTATAGAGGAATAAGTTTACTGAGTATACAGGAAAAGTATACGGTAGGGTTATAATTGAAAGAATTAGAGGTAAGACAGAATGTAGAATTGCGGACGAGCAAGGAGGCTTCAGAGTGGGTAGGGGATGTGTAGATCAAGTGTTTACATTGAAGCATATATGTGAACAGTATTTAGATAAAGGTAGGGAAGTTTTTATTGCATTTATGGATTTAGAAAAGGCATATGATAGAGTGGATAGAGGAGCAATGTGGCAGATGTTGCAAGTATATGGAATAGGTGGTAAGTTACTAAATGCTGTAAAGAGCTTTTATGAGGATAGTGAGGCTCAGGTTAGGGTGTGTAGAAGAGAGGGAGAATACTTCCCAGTAAAAGTAGGTCTTAGACAGGGATGTTTTAATGTCACCATGGTTGTTTAATATATTTATAGATGGGGTTGTAAAAAAAGTAAATGCTAGGGTGTTCAGGAGAGGGGTGGGATTAAATTTTTGGGGAATCAAATTCAAAATGGGAATTGACACAGTTACTTTTTGCTGATGATACTGTGCTTATGGGAGATTCTAAAGAAAAATTGCAAAGGTTAGTGGATGAGTTTGAGAATGTGTGTAAAGGTAGAAAGTTGAAAGTAAACATAGAAAAGAGTAAGGTGATGAGGGTATCAAATGATTTAGTAAAGAAAAATTGATATCAAATTGGGGAGGAGGAGTATGGAAGAAGTGAATGTTTTCAGATACTTAGGAGTTGACGTGTCGGCGGATGGATTTATGAAGGATGAGGTTAATCATAGAATTGATGAGGGAAAAAAGGTGAGTGGTGCGTTGAGGTATATGTGGAGTCAAAAACGTTATCTATGGAGGCAAAGAAGGGAATGTATGAAAGTATAGTAGTACCAACACTCTTATATGGATGTGAAGCTTGGTGGTAAATGCAGCAGCGAGGAGACGGTTGGAGGCAGTGGAGATGTCCTGTCTAAGGGCAATGTGTGGTGTAAATATTATGCAGAAAATTCGGAGTGTGGAAATTAGGAGAAGGTGTGGAGTTAATAAAAGCATTAGTCAGAGGGCAGAAGAGGGAGTGTTGAGGTGGTTTGGTCATTTAGAGAGAATGGATCGAAGTAGAATGACATGGAAAGCATATAAATCTATAGGGGAAGGAAAGAGGTGTAGGGGTCGTCCTCGAAAGGGTTGGAAAGAGGGGGTAAAGGAGGTTTTGTGGGTGAGGGGCTTGGACTTCCAGCAAGCGTGCATGAGCGTGTTAGATAGGAGTGAATGGAGACGAATGATACTTGGGACCTGACGATCTGTTGGAGTGTGAGCAGGGTGATATTTAGTGAAGGGATTCAGGGAAACCGGTTATTTTCATATAGTAGGACTTGAGTCCTGGAAATGGGAAGTACAATGCGTGCACTTTAAAGGAGGGGTTTGGGATATTGGCAGTTTGGAGGGATATGTTGTGTATCTCTATACGTATATGCTTCTAAGCTGTTGTATTCTGAGCACCTCTGCAAAAGCAGTGATAATGTGTGAGTGTGGTGAAAGTGTTGAATGATGATGAAAGTATTTTCTTTTTGGGGATTTTCTTTCTTTTTTTTTGGGTCACCCTGCCTCGGTGGGAGACGGCCGACTTGTTGAAAAAAAAAAAAAAAAAAAATATATATATATATATATATATATATATATTATTTATTTATTTATTTATTTATTTATTTATTTATTTATTTATTCTGAGCACCTCTGCAAAAACAGTGATAATGTGCGAGTGTGGTGAAAGTGTTGAATGATGATGAAAGTATTTTCTTTTTTGGGGATTTTCTTTCTTTTTTGGGTCACCCTGCCTCGATGGGAGACGGCCGACTTGTTGAAATATATATATATATATATATATATATATATATATATATATTATATATATATATATATATATATATATATATATTATATATATATATATATATATATATATATTTTATATATATATATATATATATATATATATATATATATATATATATATATATATATATATATTTATATATATATATATATATATATATATATATATATATATATATATATATATTTATATATATATATATTTATATATATATATATTTATATATATTTATATATATTTTAACAGCTGTCTCCTGCCAAGGCAGGGTGACCCAAAGAAGAAAACACATTCACCAACATTCACTCCATTAAAGTTGAGCAATATCTTGATTCTGGTGTTAAACCCAAGTATCAGATGCATATGTTTTGCACACACGTCTTCAAGTGGCAGTCATTAAACTATTGCATCTTGCTCAGAGAAGCAGAAAAGCAATTTCACTTGGCCTACCAGTTTACACAAAACATCCAGAGCAGTGTAAAACAATGTACCTTCAATGTATGTAATTTATATTTATCTCCACATATTTCCAAGTGAATGTAAATTTATATTATATTTATAGGTGAAAGGTGTTTATTGTTTTGAAGTAAAGGGAGGTCCTGGTGGTAGCGAGGCCAAGTGGATTGTTGATGCGAAGAATGGATCAGGATCTGTCACACTAAATGGCACAGGTTAGTATGTGTGCTCATTTTGCTTTTATATTTTATATACCTATTGCAATATTGGATTAAACATTTTTTTAAAGTTTGTGTCATATTTCTTAATAAAATTTTAGCAATATTAGATTACGTGTTAAATATGTAAATACACCTACCATCCGACTTACAACCTGCTCGACTTACGACCACTCGACTTACGACCGTGTTTTTTATGCCAAATTTCTGGGAAATAAACGAATATTTGTGCTGTACACAGTGTTTATCCTAAACCTTACAGTATGAAATACAGTACTAACAACATAAAAAGTAAAGTAAAACATGAAATACCAAAATAAAACAATAAAATAAAATCATTACAAAAATGTTTTGTTGATATTCAGTAGTAAAGTTTGACTTACGACCATTTCGACTTAGGACATGTTTCTCGGAACCGAACTCGGTCGTAAGTCGGATGGTATGTGTACAATGGACCCTTGGTTTTTGTGATTAATCCGTTCCAGAGTCTGCCAAAAACCAAAATTCATGAAAACCGAAACCATCCTCCCCATAAGAAATAATGTAAATCCAGTTAATCCATTCCCGACACCCAAAAGTATTAACAAAAAAATAATTTTTTTACAGATTAAATATAGATTTACATACAGAAAAGCATGACAAATCAATATAAAGCAATAATAACATCACACTTACCTTTATTGAAGACTCTTGTTGGTGTATGGAAGACAGGAGGAGGGGAAGTTATTAGTATTTGGAAGGGGAATCCCCTTCCATAAATACTTTAGGTATCGAGTCCTTATCCGGGGTTACTTCCCTTCCTTGTTTTTTAATGGCACTAGGACCAGCTCGAGTCACTGGACCCCTGTCGCTCAAAAAAATGTTCCAGAGAGCTGTTTCTGGCGTCTCTTTAAGATTTGCCTAAAATGGGACGAGGCATTGTCATTGAACATGTTGCAGACACGGCCTACAACAGCTTTGTTAGAATGATGTTCCTCCACAAATGTTTGCACCTCACTCCACTTTGCACAGATATCCTTAATCTTTGAAGAAGGCACCTTCTTCCCTCTCTCTTCCTCCTTTGCAAAGCAATTTCCTCAACTGTGGTCTGTTGCTGTTGCAGACAAAGCTCTTGCAGCTCTTCAGTGGTTAGCTTTTCACTGTGGTCCTCCTCTAACTCTTCCACATCCTGGCCACTCACATCCAACCCCATAGAATTCCCCAATGCCACAATACATTCCACAACAGGCTTATTTGGCAGTTGCAAGCACAAAAAACAATGGATTATTACAATATGTTTCGCATGAACGCACGGGGTGATGCTCACTCACCAAGAAACAATACCAGACTGACTTTTGAATGCATCTGTTGGAGGCTTGTGTGCGCGGGGCCACTGGGACACGTATCGTACGACCGCCAAAATCCAAGGGAAATCATGAAAACCAAGGCTATATTTTGACGAAAAAAGTTGCTGATAACCAAAATTCACAAAAACTGAGACTCGCAAAAACCAAGGGTCCACTGTATGTAGAATGACTTGGAGGGTGTATAAATATGTAGTGGAGGGGAGGAGGGGTAGGAGTCTTGGGAAAGGATGGAAGGAGGGGGTAAAAGAGGTTTTGTGTGCAAGGGGCTTGGACATAAAGTAGGCATGTGTGAGCGTGTTAGATAGGAGTGAATGGAGACGAATGGTTTTTGGGACCTGACAAGCTGTTGGAGTGTGAACAGAGTAATATTTTATGAAGGGATTCAGGGAAACCAGTTAGCCAGACTTGAGTCCTGGAGGTGGGAAGTATTATGCCTGCACTTAAAAGATTGGGTTTGAGATACTGGGTGTTTGGAGTGCTCAGATATGACATCTAAGCTGTCATATCTTGGCACCCCTGCAAAGACAGTGATTGTGCGAATGATGGTGAAAGTGTTTCTTCCTTTTTTGGGTCACCCTGCCTCAGTGGGAGACAGCCAGCATATTAAAAAAATGTATAAATATTTCTACAGGTGCTGAAAGGAGATCAAAATTAACTTATTTCATTTTTTTAACAGCTAAACCAGATGTAACGATCAGCATGAATGATTCAGATCTTGTTGACTTAATGGAGGGTAAGTTAAACCCTCAGAAGGCCTTCTTCCAGGGCAAACTCAAGATCAAAGGCAATATGGGTCTGGCTATGAAACTGCAAGAATTCCAGAAACAAGCACAGCAACTGAAGGCTAAATTGTAGTTTCCTTTCATAAAAGTATTCATTCTCAGCACTACCATTCCTTTTTAAGTTTAAAAGTGACACTTACTTTGGATAATAAAATGACTAAACTAACAATAACCAGAGGTTGAAATTATAAGTGTCAGACTTAAAATTGATGTATAGCTAGCTGAGAAAATCTATATACGTATACTTCCCTATTGTGAATGCAGGAAAAGATGAGATACAGATTCTCATGTATGTCACCTCTAGTTACGCATGTTAAATTTGTTTACATGATTTTCCTATTCAAAGTAATTGTTTTTATTCCAATATCAGTGTAATAAACTGACTGCATATTGTAAAAAAAAAAAACGCTATATAGCATTTAGGAATTAATGCTGAATCTTGATACATTTTGTGTGGCTGGGAAACAAGAGCCCTACCTTTAACTAATTTCCTAGTTTTCATTTACAACTGAAGCTATAATGTTTATTATATATTCAAAGGCATATAGACCACTAGATCACAAGTGAATTTTACCGAAAGGTAATTTTTTGAATTGTTTAAATTAGTTTTTTTTCACTTGTCACTTACAAGCCATTTATGAAGTGTATGGGTCTATAATAAAATTTGGAATGCTTCTTAATACATAGTATGTCTTATCCATATTGGTAACTTTATTGTTATACATTGTGCTAGTCTTAAATGTGTTCACTTGGGAATATTGTACATATACAGTATATGAGAATGTGATACTAAGTAACATGCATTACTTTTCGGACACCTGTGCAAAGGAGTGTCTTGTGCATATTATGTATCACAGAATTGATTCAATATTTTTTATAAAACTAGTTCAGTAATTCAAACAATTTGTCTTGCTGTTGGTAAGAGTATCTTTACAAAGCTTTTTTCTAATTACCCTTAACCAAAACTTCATGGGTCTGAAGTTAATAGCAATGCCTTCAATGCAACGTTTTTAAATTGTATAGAATATTTTGCTTTTGCAAGTGAAAGCAAAGCAGCAAATATAATATAAATATTTACACACTCGATTTCATGTTGAGTTGCATAGAAATGTGTAATGTGTGCCTTTATATATACCGTAATAGCTTAACAAAATTGGCTTGATTTTGTGTATTAATTAGATTAAGCTTAGATGTTTATAAAAAGCTTCAACTTTAAATTTAGATATATCAATATTTTAGATACAGTATGTACAAAGATTTTATGCCATTAAATTAATATACATCTTTTGAGACTTTTAACATTTCTTCCTAGGTGTGTTTCACAAGGGCATCTTATTTCTTCAGTATACTGAAAATCTGAAGAATTTATTGTCTCAGGAATCAAATGACAGTAGACGATAACAATGAGGTGGTGGAGCATGTCTAATTGTGAGAGTTGAGCATAATGAGAGTAGCCTAATAAACTGAGGGAAGAGTGTCCATGAACTAACTGAAGAGAAAGCTCTGCTGATATATGTGGAGAAATATATCTATAAAAGGGGAAAGTATTTTATGGTAGTTTTCTTCAGTACAAGTTAATAGTCCTTCCTTAGGCAGCCATCTTCTTGTGATGGGAGGAGATTGAATCCTTTAGCTTCCATGGACAGTATTGGTTGGAAACTTTATTATCCCAGTGTGTTTGCTGTACATGGCAAATCCTAATATGGGAAGTTTCACTTTTTTTTTTTTTTTTTTTTTTTTTTAACGTGCTGGCTGTCGTCCACTGAGAGTTGCCCCAAAAAGGAACACTTTCACCATTTACACTATCACTGTCTTCCCAAGGACACACACATATGATAGTTTAGATGTCCCTCTAAAGAGCAAATAACCCAAACTCCTTTAGGGTGCAGGCACTGTATTTTCCACCTCCAGGACTCAAGTCCATCTAACCACTGTTCCTGAATGAATTTGAGAACCTACTGCCTTTCTATACTTATTAACAGGGATCATGCTTGGTTTTCTTTGCTAAATGTTCTCAAATAGTTCTTTGCATATACTGTCTTGCCTCAGGTACCCCCTCCCTCTCCTCCCTGTTCCTTTTTCAAATATTTTCCTTTGGATCCCTCCTCCAACTTGCATTTCCAATTTGCTCTACTGGTGGTGATGCTTTAGGGAAAGGTGGGGTACCTTTATGCCAATGAAGAGCTCTAAATATGAGGAATTGGAGCTATCATTCCTTTAGATCAAACATTATTGGTTCCCATTCCTCAAGCAGTGCACAACATGACCCTTGTAGGTTTTGTGCTTCCTTGGAGATATAATAAATCAATAATGCTAGTGGAAGTGCACATGCCCCAACATCCTCCTATTCAAGATTAGAATGTCTCAAGAGGCTAACATCTGCTGTAAGTAGAATAACCTTGCTCAAATTCTTATTACCTCACACCTTCCCATTCCTATGCTCATTCTTTTGTTATTCTTCTGAATCCTCCCTCGGCTATCTACCCTCATTACACTCATGCTTCCTGGCACTCCATCATTCCCTCATCCTACAGTGTACTACTACACTTTTCTTCCACAGAAATCAAGACAGTTGAAGGCATAACTGCTGTATAGCCCTTGTGGCTTAGCGGGTCTTTTTGATTATAATAATAATGAAGGCATAACTGCTTATCATGCAGCACTTGCCACTGATAGGGAACATGATACTCTCTGTTTAATGTTTTCAATCTCCAGAGCATTATCCTGTTAGTACTGTTTAACATTTCTGTAAAATAATGACAGTATTGCAATATTTTCTACTTCATTACCATATCATAGTTCTTTCTGACAATTCCCAAACATTTGTCTTATAACAGTATCCAGAAAAACCACTGCACACTTAGGTCATTTTAAGTTTTCCTTCTACCTCCTTATTTTGAATACTTAGTGCCCTCACCTGTGCTGTATATGCGAGTTTATTGCTTTCCTGTGAATATAATAATACAGTAATAATGAATACCCTAGCTCAGGCTTCTCTTGTTTCATTGTTTATATTATTCTTTCCCTTAGATCAAATAACATTATTTCCCATTTCCCAGACACTGTGTGACTTATAAATTTGGTACTCACCCCAGTGAGTAAAAAAAAAAAGTATTTAGATAATGCAATGGAGCACTAGAGGATAATGGGGGGTAAATTAGACTGGTATCAGTTATTTATCTCCTCAAGGGAGGGTGCTAAGCTCTATGACCCTTTTGGGTTTAGTGCTTAATTTGATTATGTATATTATTATTGTCCTCAAAGGAGGTGATGATGTTGAGAGGGCTTTTGATCCAAGGAACTGGACTTATCGTTCCCTTCTACAGATCGAATTTGAATACTTTTTATTTCCCAGGTATTACATTATTCCAACAGGTTTGGCGCTTCTCCCTTGTTAAATAAATAAAAATTAAGATATTTATTTTCAGTGTCCTCTTAAAGTATCTTATACAAAAAAAATGTTAGTTTATCTCTTGTTATGTATGAAAGGGCTGCATGACCTTATGGGTTTAGCACTTACTTGCGATTGTAATAATAATACAGCCTCTCCTCACTTAACGATGGAGTTCCGTTCCTAAGACAACACTGTTAAACAAATTTGTCACTAAGTGAAGAGCATACTATATTGGTAGTGGGTTTGTGTCAACCATCTTTGATGTCGTTTTAATGTCACCTTTGCACCTCTTATAACATTTCTGGTATATTTTTAAATGTTTATACAGTAGTGTACCGTACAGTGGTGTATGTCAGAAAGAACTTGCCACTTTCACTCCTTGCCCTGCAGAGTCGAGTAAACATGCAGTATCATAGTGTCAAAATATATGCAGGTGATTTTTCCCTAAACATTTTTAATCTCTTTGCCCCAGCGAACCAGCTTCGACCTGATGCCTTACCAGATCGCATCAATAGTGAACCTACCCTCATTCTTGGAGACTTCAATGCCAAACATAAGAATAGTGGTGGGTCTATAACAAACACCAATGGAACTAAACTAGTAAAATTGCTAAATGAGTATGATAATGTTCGAATTGTGGGCACTACTGAGCCTACTCACATATATGGTGGCATACTAGATCTGTGCCTTGGATTTAATACATCATATACGATGCATAACTCGGTCATAGTTGATGATCTTCTATCTGATCACTTCCCTAGACTCACAACTGTCAATCTTGATTACATCTCCAGTAATCAAGGAGCTAAATACAGAAGGAAGACTTATTCTCAACCCAGAGCACAGAGACAACTTTATTAACCACTTGGATCAATGGTATAAGAATTACGGGCCCATTGACACACAACAATTCAACGATGATTTAGTTTCCATTATTAGACTGTCCTCACAGATCAAGTGGGCAGGAAAAGAAAACATAGACCTTCCACTATAACTGACAATAAAAACCAACGTGAATACTATAATGATCCAGGGCTACGCAATCTAACACATGCAGCTAGGAGGATTGGTAAAGCATACCGTGAATGTAGGACCCCAGTCCTGCTCAGAACGTTCCAAGCTGAACTAACAAATGCAAGGAATAGAAAGCAAGAACTTAGGCAACAGGAATGGGAACAATTTGTTAGTGGATTAAATGGGTCCACCCCCTTAAGTTTAGCTTGGAAAGGTATAAATAAAATAACCAGAAAAAAGACTGGCAATGTTGTTCATCCCTTTTTCCCTGAAAAAGCAAATGACCCCATAA